GGGCACCGTTTCATTCACAACACCTGTCCCATCAACCAGGAATCAGAAATACTTTAATAATCCCTTCTTGTGAAAGCAAATCTGTCTGTCTATCATCTAGTTTAGTAAGATCTATTCCCGGAGCTATATTGGTAAAACAGGACATACAAAAAAGAAAAGAACGACTGAATAATATCAAAGATCAGATGAGGACCAACCTGAGTCGCCATGGGAACCAACCTCATTAGACAAATCCCTGAAACACAGAAGAGACAGTCAGAGAGGTGCAGCGGGGGGAGGAGGTCTTCCTGACCAGAGCGGATGCGCGACACATTACCACTCGGTGTGGTCGTCCAGGCCGAAGAACACCTTCATGGTGACGATGATGAGGGCGGCGGCCTGCAGCTCGTACTGCGGCAGGACGAGACGCGGCGAGACTTGCGCCGTGTGGCATTTCTCATCGAGCATGTTTGCGCGGTCCATAAGGATGCAGACCCACTTGTGCAGCTCGTCTGAAGACAAGAAACGACAGGAAGGTTAGTGGTTCTGATGGTACCGATTGGTCCTTCAGGTGGGGCGGGGGTTTTACCGGGCAGGTTGGCGTCAATCAGGTAACGCAGGCAGAGCCGCGCTGGGTGGAGCAGCGTTTGTGGGACGATTGGAGGGAAAGTAGGAAGCTGCAGGAAGAGAATCAGGCTCTGGGCCTCTTTGTGGACGGAGCGGTAAGACGGGATTATCTACAGGAACCGGAGGAAAGAAGCAGAACGTTTAGAAAATACCATAAATCCTTAATTGAAGCAGTTTGTCCCAATTAGTCTCCCATTTTCAGAAGGATCGTTCTTAACCGGACTCTACTGCAGCTGTCAAAATATTAAGATTGAATCTGTTTACAGTTTAGACAAGAAGAACATTTATTTTAATATAATTAGAACTAGGGCTGCAACTAAGAATTATTTTGCTAATCTGATTTATCTGTCAATTATTTATTGATTAATCGATTTATAATTGGATAGCCAAAAGGTTTTTACAGAATTAAACCAGATGATACTTATGCTGCGTTCAGACCGCATGCAGCAGGAGCAGCAAAATCGCGTCTGCTGCTTCATTTTTTATGCTTGTACAAGTTTCGTTCTGAGGGGCGTCTGGAGTAACCTGACTCTGCCAGATGGATTTGCTCCGCATATCCATCTGGAAACCTTCCGTTGAAGTAAT